TATTTTTTATATATATATATATATATATATATATATATATATATATATATATATATATATATATATATATATATATATATATATATATATATATATATATATATATATATATATATATATATATATATATATATATATATATATATATATATATATATATATATATATATATAAATATTATAAAATAAAAAATTTAAAAATATTTATATATATATATATATATATATATATATATATATATATATATATATATATATATATATATATATATATATATATATATATATATATATATACATACATATATATAACAAGCATTAAATGTTAATAATGCATTAGTTAATGTTGATCTGTTAATTATAATTAATAAATGCTGTACATGTATTGCTCTTTATTAGTTCATGTTAGTAAATACAATGATCAACATAAATTAGTACACCCCATTTTGAAAATGAATAATTTTATCAATTTCTAATATATGTCATATAGTTTAATGCATTTAAACAATGAAAAGGATATATTTATTAGAATAATACTTTAGTCACCGAACATCTTTAGAAATAGAAAGATAATACATTTAAATGCATGCAAAAAATTGGAAAAACTAATTACAAACTGCAAAATTACAACAACATTTTAGACATTTCTTGAAATTTACTGTTTAAAAAAAAAAACAATATTTATTTAATATTTTCCCCTAACATATAATTTTGGTTGTACTCATTTTGGACCATTATCAAAAGTTATTTTGTTAGATAAGCTCCAGATTTGTCTTGTACTGACCAATCAAATGTATTTGCACAGATATAATATTGTAAAGATTTGTGTGGGGTGTACTCATACATGTTAAGCACTGTACATTAACTAATCAAGCCTTATTGTAAAGTGTCACCACATAACTTATTGCTATATAATGTGTTACTAAAGTCACACACACACACACACACACAATGTCCACACTAGCATCATTCTAAGTGGGCAGACCGCATGTGTTCATTGGCAGAGTTGATGTTGTTTGGATGAAACGGCGCAATGGATCAAACTGAGCATGTGCTGCTGCTGCGCTGTTATTTCAAGAGTTTATGTTCCCCTCGCTATCTCACACGCTAACCTCATCCTCAGCACTTACGGTCAACGCTCTCATCGCTTTCCAGGTCGTACGAGCTCACGCGGAAAGACCGGCTCTACAAAAACATCCAGAGGATGCAGCAAAGCCACGGCTTTCACAACTTCAGCATCGTACCACAGACGTTTGTGCTGCCCGCAGAGTACCAGGAATTCAGCAGTGAGTGTGTTTGGCCCAACGGCATCAATCAGAAACAGTTCAAGTCAAAAGTATTAGCTTGTTTAAATATTTCCCAAATTATATTCAACAGATTCAGGTATTTTTCACAGTATTTCCTATAATATTTGTTCTTCTGGAGAAAGTCTTATTTGTTTTATTTCGGCTAGAATAAAAGCAGCTTTATATGTTTTAAGGTCAATATTATTAGCATCTTCAGCAATATTAGTGTTGGATTGTCTCCAGAACAAACCACTGTTATACAGTGACTTGCCTAATTACCCTAACTTTACCCTAATTACCCTAGTGAAGTCTTTACATGTCACTTTAAGCTGAATACTAGTGTCTTTGAGAATATCCAGTCTAATATTATGTCATCATGGCAAAGAGAAAAGAAATCAGTTATTAGAGATGAGTTATGAAAACTATTATGTGCAAAAATGTTGAAAAAACCTTTAAAAATTGGTGAAAAATAATGCCGGGGGGGTTAATAATTCTGACTTTGACTGTAAATGCTTCTCTTCTGAGCTTAAATAACATGGTTTATGTCTTCATGCAAACCGCAGACTCCTTCAGCAAAGACAAGGGTCCGTGGATCATCAAACCAGTGGCGTCCTCCAGAGGTCGAGGCATCTACCTAGTCAGCAATGTGAGTCATTAAAGAAATAGGGTACAGAGTTGGAAATTAACAGGGACTAAGGGTAAAAATCCTAGCTTAATTAACTCTACCATGAGCTATGTGTGCATCCAAAAATGCGTATGAACTTTATGCCAGAACTGGATTATCGCATAAAAGACGTGTGAATAGAGCAGCGTTTCCATCCAACGAGTCAAGGTGAACAAAATCATAATTTCCTGATTAACTAAATATCAGCAGCGCCAAATATCAACAGTAAAAACTGAATTTGCTGCAGTAGTAGAAGCTGCGTGAGTCTTTCCTTCATCTAATAAATCACTTGCACCTCAGAAGGCAGTCCTGACACGCATTGAATGCCCGGTGGCGTTTGAAGGTGGCAGACGCGGAGCACAGACACTCTTGATTCTGGAGGTCATTAATAAAATAATGACACTAATACTTAAACGGTGAAGCATTTTAGAATGACCAAAACAATAGTTCAGATGGTTTACAGTGTGCTCAGGCTGCTGATTTGTCCATTCACACACATTTTCATCATCACATGATCTCTTATCACACAATCACATGTCCTTTTTTTAATGCGCATACTGAAATTTGTGCCTTAAAAGTGTTTCCATCGGAGTTTGTGCGCATCTTTTCTTATCGAATAAAAAGTTTATCCTACTCAGTTATGCGCATTTTCAAAGTGTATGCACATCTTGGCGTTTACTTTAACCGTTTTTGTATGTGCATATGCAAAATGCGCATAAAAATAGGGGGATGGAAACATAGCTAGTGTCTTAGAATTTTGTATACACCGTATACTAATCCCTTAAAAATGGGTGCCCAAACTCCGACCTGGAGGGCTGGTTTCCTGCATATTTTAGTTCCAACCCCTATTAAACACACCTGAACTAGCTAATCAAGCTCTTACTCATGCTGTGTCCCAATTTGCATACTTATACTACGCCCTAAAAGTATCTACTTTTTTGTAAAGGAAATTATATACTTTTGAGTGTGTAACAGAAGAGTATACAAGCTTTTGGGACACACTACTTCCTCGTTAACAGATCGTTATGTTGCTTAGTTACGAGCCCTGTCAATCATCCACACATCATCCACTTTTACAACAATACAACAATAACGTTGTGATAAGATTCAAAGAATCTGGAGTAATTTTAGTTTGTAAAGGACAAGGGCGCAAACCTAAGCTGAACAATCTCTGAACCGTCAGGCAGCGCTGCATCAAGAATCCTCCTCCATCTATAAGCCAGATCACCACATGAGCTCAGGACTACTGCAGTAAACCTTTGTCAAGTACCACAATGCATAGTTACATCTATGGCAGTTATAACTGTACTGTACCAAAAGGTAGCCCTATGTTAACAGTGTCCAGAAGCACAATCGACTTCACTGGGCTCGGAGGCATCTGGGATGAACCATCACACAGTGGAAACATGTTCTGTGGTCAGATGAATCAGTATTTCAGGTATATTTTGGGAGAAATGGACATTGTGTGCTCTGGACAAAAGAAGAAAAGGATCATCCAGACTGTTTCCAGCAACAAGTCCAAAAGCCAGACTCTGTCATGGTATGGAGTTATGTCAGTGGCCTTGGCAATGCTGAAAAGTACAATATGCTGCCTTCTTTTCCAGGGACAGCCATGCATATTTCAACAAGACAATGCAAAACCACACATTACAGAGTCCTGCTCCAGGAGATGGGTACTGGACTGGCCTGCCTGCAGTCCTGACCTGTCTCCAATAGAGAATGTGTGGTGCATTTTGAAGCTCAATGCGACAAAGAAGACCCTGTACTGTTGCCCACTTTAAGACTTATTTGAGGGAAGAATGGGACACAATGACACCTGAAACACTTCATCACTTGGTGTCTTCAGTCCCTGAACATATTTTACATGTTGAGAAAAGGAATGGCAACGTGGTAAATGCTTTACTGCTCCAACTTTTTTGAAATGTGTTGAAATGCGTGTTTATATTAAAAAAACACAATAAAAATTGAATCATGAGGAACACATTAAATAATGTTCGTTGTATCGTCTGCAGTAAAATACAATTTCTCTGAAAGCATGACTTCATCTCTCATGTTATTCAGCTTCTCAACTAAATATATCTTGATTAATGAATGTTTAGATATTCATACTGAAAAGCAAGACGCAATTACCCAAAGTGAACTGAAGGTAATGTTTGCTGTGTTGTGTGTGTTTCAGATCAGTCAGATCCCATTGGATGAGAATATTTTAGTGTCGCGGTACATCAGCAATCCTCTGCTGATTGACGGTCAGTCTATACCACCAACACAAGCAGTTTCTCACTATTCTGTTTGTGACTTACTGTAAATTCAATTTCTTGCGTCTGCAGATTTTAAGTTTGATGTGCGTCTGTATGTCCTGGTGACCTCTTACGACCCTCTCGTCATCTACCTGTATGAAGAGGGCCTGGCCAGGTAATTCAATACTGTTTTCCCACTGTTAAACATCCGAGACATCTGATGAGAAATGTTGCTGCTTAAATGAAGATACATACAGATCTGTAAAAGCAGATCTGACTGGTTGTTTGTTCTGATGCTCTGCAAAAGTTAACCGGGACCTCTGAAAGTCTGCCAGAAATATATTGAAATCCATTGTAGGTTTAAAGTTTTAAAAATGAGCCGAAGCACAGTCAGTAAACGGGACATTCAATCATTCATTTTCCTTAGCTTAGTCTCTATTTCAGTGGTCACATGAACTATTCCACCAACTATTTACGCAGCGGATGCCCTTCTAGCTGCAACCCAGTATTGGAAAACACCCATTTACACTCATTCGTATGCACACACACACTCATACACTACGGCCAAGTTAGTTCATCAATTCCCCTATAGTTCCTGTGTTGTGTCTGGGGGAAACTGGAGCACCCGAAGGAAACCCATGCCAACCAGGGAGAACATGCAAACTCCACACAGAAATGCCAACTGACCCAGCCTGGACTCGAACCAGTGACCTTCTTGCTGTGAGGCCACAGTGCTAGCCAGTAATTTTTTTTATATATATATATATATACTGTCTTTGTTTTCTAGTATTCAAGTGCATTGTAATATCTTCATGTATAAAGTATATGTTGAATAAAACAATTATCCCTCCTGTGAAATTCTTTTTCCAAATATTTCCCAGGTGATGTTTAACAGTAAAAATAAAATAAAATAAATAAAATAATAATAATAAAATAATTTTTTTATAATGCTTTTATTTCTTCTGGAGAAAGTGTTATTTATTAAATATTTATTATATTAGATATATTTATATTTATTTATATATTATATAATTTGCTGGAATAAAAGCTCTTATAAGGTCAACAATATGTGTCTTGTTCGTGTATATTTTGGTCATTGAATTTTCATTTTAGAAACGGATATTGAAAATGAAAAATGAGCCATTTTTTTATTATCATTTTAAAACTTCAGAGATCAGATATGCTCCACACAGACCACTATGCTACTATAGGCTATTATTTTTTCCACTCAGTTATGTTATAAAAAGGTATTTTCTTGTGATATAGGGATTTTGTTATGACATATTCAAAGTTTGGGAAGTGAAAGTGTTATGGTTTTAACAATATTATAACTTTCTTTTCAGAAAAGTGTTGCAAACAATAAATAAATATCATAGCCTATAACCGGCCCTTATACGAGACATCCTTTTGCCATTTTAACGAGAAAAATATGTCCTAACAAAATCCTGTTATCACAAGAAAATACCTTTTATAACATAATTAAGTTAGAAAAATAATAACCTATAGATAAGCCTGTGCGTGGCAGCATTTAATCACTGTGAATGAGTAAAAAATGAGCTGTCTTTGTTTTCTGGGGATTTTATTTTTTGTTATTCGAAATCAAAAATAAAAAAATTTAATTTAGCTTATTTGTTTTTCCCCATGAAAAAGAAAAACGTCTCGCATTTTAATTTTGGTTTTTGAATTTTAAAACGAAAATCAAAAAACGGCTCGTTTTTCGTTTTTTTAGTATCAGTTTCTTAAATAAAAATTCAATGACCAAAATATACATGGACCTGGCCCAGTCTCCTAAAGAAACTTGAGCCACCGTGCTGCCCGGCAGAAAATTAACCAAAAGTGCTAGTGTGAACGCACCCTTAGAATGCCTATTTTCCTATCAGTGGGGAGTTCCTAAAACTATCATGATTAAAAAGGTATTTAAAGAAAATCTTCTTTCTGTTAAAGTGATATTGTGGAAAAATATACAGGGGGGCTAATAATATTGACCTTAACGGTTTATGTTTAGTTAACATTAAACGGTCTCTGTTTAGGTAACATTAACAAAGATTAAGTAATGCAAAACAAATGTTAATTCATTAACTAACTTACATGAACTAACACGATCATTTTATAAAGTGTTAAACTTCAAAACATTGAACTAGACATGCTCCTTTAGGACACTAAAATAGCACGAACACTAGATGGCAGCAGAAGCGTTTCCATCAAAGTTGGAGCGACTCCTGTAGACCTCAAACAAAGCTTTCCATTGTCTCACTGCTGGAAGGATGTTGACAGAAGTATTCTTTTAAATAAACATATTTAAAGCACAACGAAAAGCAGACATCGTTTTAACAAAAGCTTTTCAAAGCAAGGATGTTCTCAGGCTTTCATAGTTTTGTCTTCTACCTGGAGAAGCTCTTTTCTGTGATCCTTTAGCAAAAGCCACAAATAGTAGAGGGAAAGTTTTGTTCTCAGTGCGAAAGAAAGTCTGACGGTCGTAACCCACCACCGAGCGCCTGCTAAACGCATTGGATTTAGACACACACACACACACACACTGTCTTGCTTCTGGCACAGCGAGTAGAGCGTTTTCTCAGACATGCGAGTGAGAAGCTCAAACAAATGCTCCGTTTTTTTTTTTTTTTGGGATGTCGTGCCGAGTGAAAGCGTGTGAAGTGGATGTGCAGTGTATTGTGGGCCGCTGTGGTCTGGTGTGTGTAAAACGCTTGGCCTGCGTCTATTAGGCTTGGCGCTTTAAGGAGTGACACTGGGGTTTGTTTTCGGCACACTCTCTCTTATGAACTGCTGGCGCTTCGTCCTGGCGTTTTTCCCAACTCAACTTTTATCTTGGAGATCCCAGAAGCTTTGAAGGCGTTCAGGTGTTCGCTGTGTGCCAGGAAATTCTTCCTCCACATGTGGCGTCCACTCCTCCCAAACCAGGCAGCGTTGCATTGTGGGAATGCCCATGAGCTGAAGAGTCACTGAGATGACCTTTAGAGTTATCTGTGGTCGTCTGTGGTACCTTGTAATGGAAACATTAGCCTATTAGTTAATGCATGCCTAATTTATTATTATTTTATAACATTTTTAGCTTAGATCTATTGATTAACATGGTGCTAAAACATTAAACTTCATGATTTCAGTCATGAATTAGGATTAGAAAGACTTTTGGAGGTCAAACCAAAGACAATTGTTTTACATGTAAGTTTTCATGATGATCTATGAGTAGATGAGTTCACCTGTTGACTAGTGAGTAGATGAGTTTACCTGTTGACTAGTGAGTAGATGAGTTCACCTGTTGACTAGTGAGTAGATGAGTTTACCTGTTGACTAGTGAGTAGATGAGTTTACCTGTTGACTAGTGAGTAGATGAGTTTAGCTGTTGACTAGTGAGTAGATGAGTTTACCTGTTGACTAGTGAGTAGATGAGTTTACCTGTTGACTAGTGAGTAGATGAGTTATATGTTGACTAGTGAGTAGATGAGTTCACCTGTTGACTAGTGAGTAGATGAGTTCACCTGTTGACTAGTGAGTAGATGAGTTCACCTGTTGACTAGTGAGTAGATGAGTTTAGCTGTTGACTAGTGAGTAGATGAGTTTAGCTGTTGACTAGTGAGTAGATGAGTTCACCTGTTGACTAGTGAGTAGATGAGTTTAGTTGTTGACTAGTGAGTAGATGAGTTTAGCTGTTGACTAGTGAGTAGATGAGTTTAGTTGTTGACTAGTGAGTAGATGAGTTTAGCTGTTGACTAGTGAGTAGATGAGTTTAGTTGTTGACTAGTGAGTAGATGAGTTTAACTGTTGACTAGTGAGCAGATGAGTTTATCTGTTGACTAGTGAGTAGATGAGTTTAGTTGTTGACTAGTGAGTAGATGAGTTTAGCTGTTGACTAGTGAGTAGATGAGTTTAGCTGTTGACTAGTGAGTAGATGAGTTTAGTTGTTGTCTAGTGAGTAGATGAGTTCAGCTGTTGACTAGTGAGTAGATGAGTTTAGTTGTTGACTAGTGAGTAGATGAGTTTAGCTGTTGACTAGTGAGTAGATGAGTATAGCTGTTGACTAGTGAGTAGATGAGTTTAGCTGTTGACTAGTGAGTAGATGAGTTTAGTTGTTGTCTAGTGAGTAGATGAGTTTAGCTGTTGACTAGTGAGTAGATGAGTTTAGTTGTTGACTAGTGAGTAGATGAGTTTAGCTGTTGACTAGTGAGTAGATGAGTATAGCTGTTGACTAGTGAGTAGATGAGTTTAGCTGTTGACTAGTGAGTAGATGAGTTTAGTTGTTGACTAGTGAGTAGATGAGTTTAGCTGTTGACTAGTGAG